ACTCTACTATAGCTGAGAGATCATAGAGACAATGTAAAGAGAGGAAATCTATAAACATATATAATGTAGTAGAGTAAGTCATACAGGTATGAAATCATTAGCAGTAGAAGGCAGGGAAGTACTAAAATACAGATTATAAAATTTTAATGAAATGTCTTACCTAGCATCCACGATCTATTATGGAACAAGAACAATAGAAAGTACACTTTATTGATATCTGTCAATAATTTACACTTAGAGGTAGACCATTCTCTAAGAATAACTCCTGCATATTGCCCCCTTTGTAAGTTGTAGTGACTTTAAGTAGTGTAATAGGTGGCCATTTACTAGGGCCTATTATCTATCTATCTATCTATCTATCTATCTATCTATCTATCTATCTATCATCTATCTATCTGAATGACTGGTGCAGAGGGCTATGATATGAAATTCTTCATAATGACAAGGTCATTTTCAACTCTTGCTTTAAATGCTCATCAGTCAACATCTATGCTCCTTGAGAATTTTTCTTTTCCTTCAACCTAAAATGCCTTTCTCAGCACTATTTACACATTAATTTTCTAAATACACAATATGCTCAAATTGGCTAAATGTCTGTTGTTTTGCTGTGTATGTATGCAAAGCTTCTGGATCTTGGCAACCAGGGAAAATTATGTATTTCTTACAAATCAAATGACCAAGTTGTAAAATTAGTAATCAAAGAATTTTTCATATGGATATCTATCATCATCTTATAATTGTCACAAATAACTATGTTGGATAGTAAAAAAAAAAAGTGTATTGCCTAAGATAGGTTATTAAGAGATGGTTAATACATATACATATTTTTAAATCAAAATAATTTGAGAACAATGCAGACTTACTACATGGATTCTAGTTTTGATTTCATTGTACCTCTATGGAATCTCCAATATTTGAGCTAGTTTTGACTTCTGTACAAGACAGTGTGGAATAACAGACAGGAGTCACGATTGTCATCAGAGGATGTGGGTTACAGTTCTGCTCCTGTCAATTAGTACCTGTGATTTGGGGGTGACAGTTTTTCTTCATGTTACAACACAAGGTACTGTTAGTACATGCCTAAAATGTGTCATTAATGGTTCTAAAGTGTTCTATTGGCCTTATGTGACTTAATAGTAGTAGTAACTATATTGTCATCATTCTCCTTTTATACATGAAGAATGTATACTGAGGTTCAAGGAGCTGTGTGATTTTTTACAGGTCAGACATCTCATGAAAAATACCTAGAAGATGAACTTCATTTTTTCAGCCTCCAAGGCCCGTGGAATTTGTAATTAATCACTGTAAAATACTTCCTCTAAAAAATTTATGAAATGAGAAAATAGAAATCACTCTTTCAAGATTCATAATGTATGATGTAAATTTTAGTTATTGTTAAAAAAACAGGTATGTAGGCTCACATTTTTTACTTTTCAGATGAAGAAAACATCGAGGATGAATCAGCTTGTGTAACAGACAATTCCAGAGCATAATAACCTAAATACAGGTTTTTATTTAGCTAGTGACTCTGTGGCTCAGTGCATCTGCACTAGGTTCACCTGGACAGTTCTGGATATGCATGAGAGCAGTTCTACTTTGGGGGATTAAGTGGCTCTCATCTAGGGGAAGAGATGAGAAGTTATAGCTGCTGGAAGCACTTTATTCCTTTTTTAAAATCCTCGTTCCATTGTGTTCTTGTTTCCCAATGCTACTTCTTTTTGTACTAAAGAGGTGTGTGTGTGCGCGTGTGTCAGGGAGAGAGATCTCAACATCAAGCAGACCAGCTAAGGCTTGTTCTCACCGCACCAGAGGAGGGCTCCAAGGAAGAAAGAGAATGCAGAAGCCTGCAGGACCTTTTCAAGTTGAGGCTTTGAACGGTTACATCACTTTGCTTCATTCTATTGGCCAAAGCAAGTCATACAGCCAGTACAGATTCGAGGGCTGAAGATCCTGTCAGACTTGATAGGAGAAGGTGTGAAGTCACATCATAAAGAATCATAACTGTAGGGAGGGATGGGGCATTGTGGCCATTTTTAAATCTACTGTAGAGGAATTTTGTCTATGAATAGCATTTTGCTTTGTAAGGGTGAGGAATATTTCTTAAATCCTTTTACTGTTCTTTAAAAGAGTTAATTTGTTCAAATGTTAAACTTACAAGTATGTCATTCTGATATTCACAATATGGCTTCATGAGATCAAGTGGTAAGTCTGGTGGTGAAGTAGTAGTGCTGTTTCCACAGCCTTGAGTGATGCTGACTCTAGGATGTAAAGGAAGCAGCATTTCAGCTACTTTGCTGCAAGGAGTAAGTCATTTAGATCCTCGCTGCACACAGACCAACGAAGGAAACCACAGCTGTTTTTTTTTTCTTCTCCCTTCACCTTTCCATTGCCATTGTTCATCAAAGATTTGGAGTTAGCTGGAGGGATATTCTGTTCTCTCCTGTCCTATATAATGAAGTCTGGATATTTGTTTTAAGATCTTCCCCTCTTATATTGACCAGAAAAGAAAATAATAAAAACTAGTTCATTCATTGCTTTATCAATTATCCAGTGAAATACAAGCTCATCTTTTATTTCTCACATTCTTATTTTCGAACTTATTTGACATGTTCTATAATTTCACATCTAATTCTTTATGAATCACAGGAAAAGCCTGACTTCTAAAAAATGATCCTCTTGTCATTTGATTATTTCTAGATAGCTTATATAAGCTTAGACTCAAATTGATTTATTACATCTCTTTCTTATTTCCCCTCCCCCACGAGTCCTTGGCATCTCCCTCAGCCCTTTTTCAGGTTCCTCTATAGATTCCTCATAATACAAATTTAATATCAAATTGAAGGTTTTCAATATTGGTTCCTGCCATCTGTATGAGTTATCTTTCTAGAAGTCTTGTAATTTAATGTGAATATTTCTTCCACTTAAATTAAAAAGCAGTAACTTATATAAAGCACTTTGCACGTAGTAAGATCTCAGTAAATGTTGTTATTATTATAAATGCTTCTGTTACAACACTGACTATTGCTAGTTTATTTTAAACCAGACCATACACCTTCTCTCCCTACTGAATTTATAACATTAAGTTATATAAGAAACCGCTATACAATATGAAGATGCGTGTTAGAATTTGAATAGAATTTTTCTTTGTAAATTCTCTGGTGATTGAAATGAACTATTACTATTATTTTTAGAAATTCCTCTGTGATTGATAATAGAGCAAAACTAGAATCATTCCCTCAATATTTAAGCTTTACACTTTTTTGCATGTGTTGTAAAAGAAATTTATATTTTCACAAAGTTGTTTCTTAGGTTATTACTACACATTTACTGTCATATTGTTAGTAAATTGTTATACACGTATATATTTTCTTGCATTACTTTCCTAGACATCAGTGACCTTTTAAAAACCTTTTAGTTTTTCACTTTGTTTATTTACTGTCATAACAGGCTTTTTTTAATGAATTGTTTATCTTTAACTGTGTACCTTGCAGTCCTCTATACTGCTAAAACTTTATTAGTAAATAATACCTTTTGCTTTTTTTCAGATCATAGTGTCAATATCAACAACTTTTTTCAAAGAGATCTTCTTCTATATATAACTCGGTGTTTTACCTACTCTGTGGACATCAATTCCACGAAAACATACCTGTGGAATAGGAGCTTGTTCTCTTTTTCCTCCCTCCCTAGAAATATACACACAGGCACAGAAACACACACGATTTTTTGGCGGTGAGGTCTGATAGGGGTTGAACTGTTTCCCCGCCTTCCACCCCACTACCTGTTAGCACCCTCTCCAAAGAGAGATGTTGAAGTTCTGACCTCCAGCACCTCAGAATGTGACCTCGTTTGGAGTTAGGGTTTTTACAGAGGCGATCAATTTAAAATGAAGTCATTAAGGTGGGTTCTAATCATTACATCTAGTGTTTTTATATAACTGAGAAATTTGGACACACAGACATCTGCCTAAAGAGAAAATGATGGGAAGACACACAGGCAGGGGACCCCCTACAGGCCAAGGAGAGAGGCTGGAACAGAGCCATTTCTCAGAGTCCTCAGAAGGAACCAACCCTGCCAACACCTTCATCTCAAATTTGTAGCCTCCAGACCTGGGAGAGAATGTATTTCTGCTGCAAACAATGCAGATTGTGATGCTTTATTATGGCAGCCCCAACAAACTCATACAAGGCACAATACAAATTTAAGAAGGTGAGAGATTGGCTAATTAGACACTTGCTTTGGTACTTGGCTATCTGTAGCTTGTCTTTTTCGTTTCCGATAAAGAAACCTGAATTTTTACTTGCTTGAGCATTATGGTCCTGGAATAAACTTTTGAAACTTGTTTTGTTTTACATAACCATGATGTGGTGCCTGGAGACCTACATTTGACTGAAAAGAGCAAGCCAGAGCCATGTATAAGACACCAGAAATAAAAGTCACTGGTCACCTGTAAGTAGACCTCTGTCTCCCATCAGCTGCCATTAAGAAGAAAAAAGAAAAAGCAATTGGTCTTAGCTTCTCTCTCACTTCTTGGGAGGGGCGGTGGGGCAGTGGGGAGAGAAAGGATGTGGAGAGCGGGGCGTAAATAAGGCAGGCAGAGAGGGTGCGGGCAGAGCTTCACGAAAGGAAAATAGCTGAACCTGGTTGGTACCACGGAGCTCACCCAGACCCACCCACACACCCACCCACCCTCCCTGAGCTCCCTGCTCCGGCGGTTGACGGCGAGCCGTGCGGAAGGGGCAGTTCCAGCAGCGGTCGCTTCGCGGGGAGAAACGGAATCTGCGGGTCGCAATCGGAGCAGGGTGGCTTCACCTTCCAAAGGCTGAGCTCTCCAGCCCTCTCCCGCGAGTTGCGCTGCGGCCGCGGCCCGCCGGGGGCGCGGAGCGCCGGCTGGACCCGCCCCGAGCTCCATGGTTCGCCCGTCCCCGCGCGATGGTGACTCGCGGCGCCCGGGCTGGCGCTCGGCGAGCCTGCGGCGCGCGGAATGAGGGCGGGGAGCGCGGCCGGCGCCCGGCCCGGGCTGGCTCGGCGACCCCAGCGCCCAGACTGGCGGCCCAAGCACCGGAACCCGCCGAACACCAACAAGTAGTTTCTCGTTGGAGGAGGGCGGCTCGGCTGGGCGTTGGGACTGAGTCCGGCTGCCGGGAGAAGCTCGTCCACGCGGACACCAAAGCAGAGCCACTTTTATCTCGGGCTCCTTAAGGTATCTGGGGGCGGGAGGGAAAGGGGGCGATGTGCGGGGAAGGGCGTGCCGACCCCGCAGGCAGGCACCCCCTCCGTTGCGCCCTGGGAGCGTGGCGGTGCAGCCCTGGGGGAAGGAGGCTGGGAGGCGGGGACGCCGCGGGGCAGGACTCCGGGCTCGGGGGGTGTGCCGCCAGCGGCCTTTCCCGCGGCCTCGCCCCTCCTGGAAAGCAGCCCCCACCCCCCACCCCCGAGGCATTTGTTTTTCTTAGGAAGAGAAGATGGGGTGGGATGCATTAATCACTACTATTCTCAAAAATGGATCCTAGTTAGTCTTTTCCTTTCCCAAGTAGTAATCATACAAGCAACAGCAACAATAAGGTGAAAAGGAAATTGGATCAGGAAATTGGTCCGAGGTCGCCTTGGTGAAAGGCAACATCAGGGAGATGGTTTTTTTTTTGCTTTGACTTCTGCGTTCAGTCTTTTTGCCTGGTCCGTGAGGGAGAGTAGAGGTGAACCAAGAACAGGTCGCTCGGAGGGCACGCCCTGAGCACCAGGGCGCAGGAAGCCACCCAGAGGCGGCCGGGGGTGAGCGGGCCGGGGGGCTCTCAGCTTACACAGCCAACTTGGCTCAGCAGAGAGAACTCCCTGCCTGAGGGAATTATCTCCAGGCTGGGGACCGAGAGAGAGCGACTAGGAGAGTGCAGAGTGGACGAGAGGGACCTGGGGTGGGGGGTGCGGCGGGGGACAGGAAAACGCAAGAGAGGGGGACAGAGAGGAGAGAGAGAGAGAGATCAGGGCTGGGAGGGCGAAGGGTGAAGAGATGAAGGAGCAAAGGGAGAAAGGTGAGGTGCGAAGCAGGGGAAAAGGGTGTCCCGGAAGGTCAAGGAAGACTTGGACTGCCCCCTCCTTGGGGCTCTGGGGACCTGGGAAAGGCGCGAGGCTGCGGGCGAAGCAGCCCGGGCGCCCACCCCCCGGGAGGGTCCCCTGCCCTTTGCCTGCCCGCCGACCCCGCACCTTGGGACTCTCGGGCCGGGAGTGGGGGTGGGGGTTCGGCTCTGACCGCCGAGATATGTAACTTGGCGCTGTGTTCGCCTCCCCTCAGTCATGTCTGAGCCACAGAGATGGGCAAGATCGAGAACAACGAGAGGGTGATCCTCAACGTCGGGGGCACCCGGCACGAGACCTACCGCAGCACCCTGAAGACCCTGCCCGGGACGCGCCTGGCCCTGCTCGCCGCCTCCGAGCCCCCGGGCGACTGCCTGACGGCGGCGGGCGACCAGCTGCAGCCCGCGGCCCCGCCGCCCTCTCCGTCGCCGCGGCTGCCCGCGCTGTCCCCGGGGCCCGGGGGCTGCTTCGAGGGCGGCGCGGGCAACCGCAGCTCCCGCGGGGGCGGCCGCGAGTTCTTCTTCGACCGGCACCCGGGCGTCTTCGCCTACGTGCTCAACTACTACCGCACCGGCAAGCTGCACTGCCCCGCAGACGTGTGCGGGCCGCTCTTCGAGGAGGAGCTGGCCTTCTGGGGCATCGACGAGACGGACGTGGAGCCCTGCTGCTGGATGACCTACAGGCAGCACCGCGACGCCGAGGAGGCCCTGGACACCTTCGAGACCCCCGACCTCATCGGCGGCGACCCCGGCGACGACGAGGACCTGGCGGCCAAGAGGCTGGGCATCGAGGACACCGCGGGCCCCGGGGGCCCCGACGGCAAGTCTGGCCGCTGGAGGAGGCTGCAGCCCCGCATGTGGGCGCTCTTCGAGGACCCCTACTCGTCCCGAGCCGCCAGGGTAAGGCCAGACTCCCCCCCTTCCCTGCTGCTCCAACTCCCTCCAACTCCTTCCCCAACTTGCTGTTCACTTGCTCCAAGGGCCTCCGGGATGGGGAGGGGGGAGGGGAGGGGCAGGGGAGCGGGGATCAGGGTCCCCGGACCAGGAGATTGGAAGCCCGTCGGGTGAAAGGTCAACTCAGGGGCCGGGCCCCCATCTGCCCAGGTCCCCTTCACCCCCTCCTCCCCTTCTCAACTCTAACTCAGATTTACTTTAGCAGACGGGACCTAAAGGGCCTGTGTCGACTTCTGTGTGCAAGTCTGTCTGGAACTTTGTCTTGAAACCAGCATCAGACTTCATCTTGAGCTTTTGTTTGTGTGTTTGTTACTTTGTTTTTCTTGATGGTTTTGTTACAACTTTTCCTTTAGCACCGATGCCTCTGCAGGCCTTCGGGTCACCACAAAATGACATTTTCAGTGAGGCCGACTCTCCTTCGCATCTGACTCACTCGGGGCAGTGGCTCAAGTAGGGATGTCATCTGAGGACAGAGGAAGGGGAAGTGGAATCCGTGGACCCGTGGCTGGCGTGGGAGAGGGGGTGCCTGGAGGTTCATTTGGGGAAGACAATCTCCTGCCTGCGGTTTGGGCTGGTCTCTTTCCAAGGGAGAAGAGTGCTGGGATTGCTCTTCCCGGTGAGTTGACCGGAGAGCCCATCCGCACACTGAATTTTGGAGGCTTGGTGTCGTTATCCTTGGTCTGTATCGACGTTTTTCACAGGCTGAATTTGAATTAGTCACTTTGGCGATCCAAGTTTCATAAAATCTTCTAAATCTGGGTAATTTAAATTGTGGCAAACTTTATTTTACTCTTTAGATTGTGATCCCAACCTCAATTTTTCTTTTCAGTTTCCAGCTTGAGTGACAGCTTAAATTTGGTTCTTGACATTCCCAATTAGTTCTTCAAAATCCCATAAAGGGACTATAAAAGTAACCAATAGTGACTTCTTCGATTTAAAGGAAACACAAGAAATATAAATAACCAAAAATTATATAGTACGTGAATGGTTTTTAATTACATGTGAGAACAGAATACTGAATTTCGTTAAGTCTCTGCAACTGTGTGTGTCTCATTTGCTCAGAAAAGATGCCCCCCTGGGCAGGATGGGAGTTCTTCCAGCTTCACTTTGGCTTCATTCTCATTTTTGTCTTTGCCTTTGGGTGTCGGAAGTCTTTGCCTCTGAGATGTTACAGGGCAGCTGTCCCTCTACCAACTTGTCAGAAGATGTGCTTCTGACACCACTTTAGAAGTCTGAAGACATGTTTTGTTTTCAGTGTGAAGCTGAATATAAAAGAGGTAACTTAAAACACTGCCACTCCGTTGAGTTTGGAATTTAAATGCATACGTAAATTCTAGGAGGTCCACATTATCATATTTGAATATAGAATTCATGACTTCAACTCTGAAAGCTTCTTTTCAGAGAAAAGTTGACATTCAGAAGAACACAAACAAACAAGTACATATTTATTTAAATTAGATCTCAGACTCATGACCATTACATCTGTGTTTTTTTTCCCCCAGCTGAGTGCCACAATAGTCTTTCTCCTTGGTGGCTAAAAAGATAACTGAATTTGTTTGCAGGTTCATCATTTGATATATATATTTTTCTGTGCTGTAAAAAGAGTATTTTGTTATCTTTCCCTTATGACCATAGAATGCACTTTATTATAGGACATGCTGTATAGCGAAAACTTTGATAAGAATGTGTTCATTTATTATTGCTATGAAAATTGATTCAACTGATGATTGGTTCAAGGATAGACCATTAGGTTGAAAATAGTCTTCTATAAATCTTTCTAAGATTTCATTATAATAGTACTAAGAATTTGAGTTACATCCATGCTAGGTAAGGGAAGAACACAGGTAGATTAAAGATTAACTTAAGGTCACAGAGCCATTAGAAGCAGAAGCAGCTGAGAATCATAGACATGGACAATTTCTTTGACATCACCTGATGAAGACCCTTTATTTTGTAGATGAGGAAAATGAAGATTACAGATGGTAAGTGATGGCCAAGGTCATACAGCAAGTTAATGGCAGAGCCAAAATTATCTGGAGGTCTTATGACATCCTCTCCAGACCCTTCCACCACAACAACTGATTGTAACTGACTGGTTTGTGAAATCGATGCAGATCATGTTGCTCTGGAGAGCTAATGCAGCATAAGATATTCACCAGCACGCTAACTTTGAAAGGTCATCTGGGACTTTTTTTGATATATGTATTTCCAGACTTTGGCTGGTGGAAATTTTACCCTGCAGCACCCAGCATTGGAGTAAAAATATGGGATTGAAATTAACTTCTTTAAACCAGCCCTGTTTGAACTTCCATTTTTATTCACCAGCTGATAGGTAATGTCTTGCTTTCCTTCAGATTGGCTAACATTTGTAGGACTTGTCTTCAGGGAAATCCCTTTTCAAATTGCTAGAGTTGCCTAAAAAAAGAATAATCAGAAGTAAACCTCTATTCTATTTAAATGTGAGTTAGTATTTTTATATGAATGCTTTTAGTTCAGATGCTGATCTGACTTACCCATGACCTGACTAGGTTGATAAGGAGAATTACATTGGATGTGGACGCGATTCTAGGAGACATAGATCAGTTATCAGGTGGTTTGCTTTGGCTGTGGTCTTAACTGTGACAAATCATTCTTAAGAGAAGTTACACATTTAACTTTTACAATTTTTCTCATTTTTTGTATTAGTGAATTTTTTATTGGTGTCCTTGAGATGAATAGTTTAACTGTCTGAACACCTTTTTAAATTTGTCATCTTTTCCAATATTGGAGAGATTGACTCAGTTTTATAATAGATGTGTTTCATTTTAACTTTTATGATCCGAACTGGCAGACTGAAACAATAGTGATAGGAACTGGATAATGAACTGCAATTTACAGCATTGTATTTTTGTCTTTTTTTTTTTTGGTTGGCGCTTCCCCTCTAGTCCTTTTAATTTATGATGTAAACACATATTTGAGAAGTCTAAATTGTCCAAGTTAATTTGGTAAATAAGTTTATATTTTACACTTTTGAATTCTTATCCTTAAGAATAGTATTCATAAATAGAAATTATAAGATTCAAAAATAAGTTGTCATGGAAACCTGTTATGGAGAATGAGATCAAGGGAAAAAAAGATAATTCCATTGTTGCCATTGAGTGATATTTACAAATAGTAAAATGCAAAGATGCATAGTCGAAACTGTGAAAATGTTGTGCTGTGTGTTTTCAATTTAAGATCTAAGTTTTAGAAGGAAACAAACTTGTATGTGCTTTCTTCTGAAGACATTCTGTTACAGGTAAGTGGATAGGAACCAGGAAGAGATTCCTCGATAGAACTTTCAGATTTGTTAGAGGTTTTAAGGAGAGAGTATAGTGACAAAATACTAGAATTAAAATTTGTTAAAAATTTCTTCCCTATATTAAAGAATCGAGAGCAGTTACAAGTATCTCTTCCTTCCTCTTCTTTTCACTTATTTTTGGGGGGGGGCAGGGAGATGGAAGGTGATTGAATCAGGTTCGTTTTCAGATTTTGGCTCTTCCTTGGCAGGATGATCTTTGATTACCTGATAGACCATTTTTTTACTTTCCAAGAACATTTTAGAAAGGAAAAACAAAGGAAGAGCTGCCGTGAAATCACACTGAAGACGCTGGATCTTTGGTGTGGCTCTAGACTGTTCCCAGCCTGTTCTCCAGACCTTTAGCCAGTGCACTGCTGTGTGCAGATCATCCTGCGGTACATACGGGTTAGGGTGGTGAATCCATCATTTTGTAATCATGAAAATAGTTATTTTATTTCCAGAATTTCAGCAAAACTACTAAAATTTAAATTTCAATATCTAGAGTGGGATTCAGAATTCACATATTTAATTTACTTTTTATGGGCCATTTTTCCCCTCTTCTTCAAACGGAAGTAAATAAAGAAATAAATAATTAAACAAACAAACAAACAAACAACAAAATCAGAAAAGAAAGGACCTAAATAACCATTTGCTGGCTTTAAATGTAACATTTAATTTAAAATATGAGCCCTGGATGGTGTAGCTCAGTGGATTGAGCGCAGGCCTGCGAACCAGAGGATCAAAGTTCGATTCCCAGTCAGGGCACATGCCTGGGTTGCAGGCCAGTTCCCAGCAGGGGATGCATGAGAGGCAACCATACATTGGTATTTCTCTCCCTCTCTCCTTCTCTTCCCCTCTAAAGATAAAAAAATAAAATCTTAAAAAATATGATAGCCCTGCCTGGTGTGGCTCAGTGGATTGAGTGCTGACCTGCAAAATCAAGGAGTGGCTGGTTTGATTCCCCGTCAGGGCACCTGCCTAGGTTGCTGGCCAGGTCCCCAGTAGGAGGCACATGAGTGCAACCACACATTGATGTTTCTCCTCTCCCTCCCTTTCCTTCTCTAGAAATAAATAAATTCTTAAAAAGTAAAATAAATTAACAAAATTAAAAGATGATAAGGTAAGGACAACTGGAGTCAAAAATTAAGATTAAAGACGGAAAATATTTTAATTCTTGTTTTGTAAGCATTGGCCCAGTTAAAAGAATTAATGGCCAAAAATACCTTGTTCATAAAATATTATTGTCAATTATTAAACATTTTAGAGCATTTATTTATTCAACGAGTAGTGATTACGCAGTCACTGTAGACCAGAAACTATGCAAGATACTGGGAATGCATGGAGAAGATATAGTCTTTCACCCTCAATAAACTCATCACTGTATTTATAATAAAATATTTCCTAGAAACATGATCTGTTAAATTTTAAAAATGCAACAAAATAACAACAAACAAAATTCTAGAGATATTAAAACATTTTCCTCAAAAACAACTTGCATGGAAATATTGCCTGACACATGCAGGAAAATATTTTAGTTAGAAATGATGGTGTTCAAGTATTGTTAGTCTATATTTTTTATTATGAAAATGTTAGGCTGTTTTAACGTTGATTATTCTGCTTTCAAAGT